CCAGTCTGTCATCTGCAGGGGTGCGGTGGGATTGGGGAAGGGTGTGATTTTATTTTAAAGTTTAAGCTTCCAGGCTTCTCTCTCAGGTCAGGAGGGTGAGGAAGAAGTTAGCCATCTTGGAAAATCACCATCGTTGTTTTATGGGCCTTTTCTCTGTCTGCCTATCAGAGAATTCGTCTAACTCCTAATCCCTTAGTATTGTAACAAGTTTCATTAACTTTAAGCAAGATTAATCAGAATCAGTTATTTATTACTGATGATTACATGCACACAAAATGTGAATTAGCCTAACAGTCTTGCAGGCTTGTACCCATAAAGTCATGAGACCTTTGTATCTGACAAATCCTCATTTAAAAACAAGTCTTTCCATTTTGGTTTCTGTTTGGAAATAGGAGAAATTGTCCTCAGACCAGTTTCTGTTACTTCATACATCAATCTCCATGTCTCCCTCCCTCTGCCCAGGTACTTTGTGTCCAACTGGCGGATGCACACTTACCTCTGCCTTTGCCTGTAGTATTTCCACATCAAGTGAGTTGGCACAGGGCATGGGAAGATTGTGCCTGGAAGCCACCATTCCTCCTCTGGACAGTTGACAATAACTTTACATATATGCGATTGCCAAGCCAAACAGAGAGTAAAGAAATCCCCACCATCTTCCTCCTAGTTAAATTCCAGTGACATTCCTGCCACATCAGTACCACACTAGAGGAGAAATGAGAGTTAGTGACACCCAAATCCATTTAAGTGTTTTTACTTTGGCGATTTCACAAGGGCATACAAATATGCAAACATTCTGGTCTTTCTTCCTAGGCCTCAGGGGTGTTCTGGATGTAAAGTCTGTGGGACTTCACCCTAATCAGCTTCCGGTTGTGGTGGAAGGTTTGAGCAAGAGTGCCTCAGCTACACCAGGCTCCACTTAGTCATGTATAGACCCTGCCTCCCTCCACTCCTACTGCTTCCTAAATGATTGTCTCCTTGTCGTTCATCTCAGCCCACGGAGATGTTCTTGTTATCCGATGTTCTTGTGTCTTGTGCCTATCATTCTCATCACATAACCCTGCTTTACCCTGCTCCAGTTCCTTCTCAGCTCTCACTTCTCTCAAAATGATTCCACTTAGTTTTCAGATTTCTCCAGAAAGATTTTTCCCTAAGAGAGTGGGAAACTTTTCTCTGTGCCTCACTGAAATATCACCTAAAGAGCATCTGATAGTCATTCCTTCAAATAACCCTTTGAACAAGTGGACAAACTATGAATATAGATATCTTATATCTTTTTAACTACCTCAGCAGTTTTACTTCATTGCTTAAACCTCCAACTCTAGTCCTCCTCCCCACTGGGTGGGTGGGGAGATAATTCAACTACAGGTGAAGCCCTGATGTTGTGGAGTGGACACTTGTGCCCTCTTCAAATGCATATGCTGTGATGGTACTTAATGGGAGGGACTTGGAAAGACAATTAGATCCTGGGGATGGAGCCCTCATCAATGAGATTAGTGCTCTTATATCTACAGATAGTCACAATGGAGGTGAACTTCAATTCCCCACGTGAAAATGTGTGGAGGAGGTGGACTCCTCCAAACCACGAAGAGAGTTCTTATCATACATGGAATCTCTTAGTACTTTGGTCTCAGATTTCCAAGCCTCAAGAACTTTGGGAGATAAATGTCTGAGTTAAAAATCACCCCATCTATTTTATTCTTCTATAGCACTCCAAACAGACGGAGACACCAGGATTTGCAAAGCTCTCGTGGTTCTAGGGAGTTTAGGTGGCTTGTCCCTTGCTCTCTCTGAAGTCACTGACAGTAGCTATGGCATTGGTTATCTATCTTCAGCTTTCATGACATTCGTGTGGCAGGGGATGGAGTCCAGTATCTTCCTGTGAGCCAGCACCTCTTTCTCTCTGGGGCCTGTCTTTTATCTCCGCGTCACCAGCATAGTGGACGCTGCTTCCTGAGAGGCCCACAGACCGTTCTTAGGGTGAGACCTTTATCACTCATCTCAACGACATTCTCCTCTTTCCTCCTGGTCTGGAATACTTTACACACTTATTTCATGGAGGTATAGGCTTTCCAAAACCAACACAATGGCCGGGAAGTGGTGGCACATGCCTTTAATCCCAGCACTCGGGAGGCAGAGGCAGGCGGATCTCTGTGAGTTCCAGGCCAGCCTGGTCTACAGAGCTAGTTCCAGGACAGGCTCCAAAACCACAGAGAAACCCTGTCTCAAAAAACAAAAAAAAACAAAACAAAACAAAAAAACAAAATCAACACAATGATTGCCATCTTCTGTTCCATCTCAACAAGGGAAACAGCAAGACTCTGACCACTGGCTTAGAATAGCAAGAAATGGAAAATCCGGATAATAAACACAATTGTCACAGTCTGAAGGTGTTTTTATATATTTTCGTGTATTGAAAAGACATGAACTTTCATCTAAGTTATCTGTGTCTATCACCCTTCTAAAAAGATTTATTTATTATTTGTGTGTGTGTGTGTGTACAGAATGTGTGTGAAGGTGTCTGTGGAGACAGAGTGGAAATGGAATCACAGGTAGTTGTGAGCCGTCTGATTAGGTGCTGGGAACTGAACATGGTCATCTGTAATAGAAGTAAGTGATCCTGACTTGGGAGCCATCTCTCCCACATCTGTAGCCATCACTCCTATAATTGAATTACAGCTCCCGAGTTTTTATGTAGAAATTTTATTCCCCCCCCACACGCTTCAGAATGTGATTATATTTGGAAGTTGATCTTTAAAGCATAATTAATTGATATGAATAATTAGGGTGTGCCTTATCCAAAATGACTGGTCTCCTCCTTATAAGAGGAGATTGGGACAAAGATGAGGAAGACCGTGTTGTGATTTGAATGTAAGCTGCTCCTCTCTCCGATCCTGCCTTTGAACACTTGCGCCCCCCCCCCCCCCCCCCCCCCGCTGGTGACTCTGGAGGAAGTGAGTCGATGGGGGCGGTCCTTGAGGCTTTGTAACCTGACCTCACTTTCTATCTGTCCCCTAAGTGGGAACACAGTAGGACCAGCTGCCCTCCCCCCCCTTCCCCTTGCTTTGCCTTCCCCGTGGTGATGACTCAGAGCTCTTCTTAAGCTGGGATACAGAATGGAACTCTTTCCTTGAATTGATTATTGTCAACTTCTTGGCCATATCAATAAGAAAAGTAATCATCCTACGCTGTGGAGATCGAGTGGAGAGCCGCCTACAAGCCAAGGGAAACACTCAAAACTGTCTCCGCTGGCACTCTGACCCCGGAACCCACCTGCACCAGTTACTTTTGCTTGACAGAGGCGACACAGGGAGGAAGGACTTCCGCTGGCTGAGGGTTTGTGGATATAGGCCATCAACGTAGCTGGAGAGGAGAGTATGGTTTGGGCTCCTCCCACATGAATTAGGTACGAAGCCAAAAGCGTTGGGCAGAGCCAGAAAAGAATGTGCTCTTCAAGGCCACCCTGGTGACCCACCTTTGCTAGGTTAGGCCACAGTCACAAAGATTCCACAACCTCTAAAAGTGGTGCCACCAGCTGGGGACCAAGTGTTCAAGCACAAGACATACAAACCGTGATGCCTCCAGAATTGCGCAATGATTTTGCTGTGTTTAAGTCCAGCAAGTCCGTGGTCTTTGCTTGGTGTTGGCAGCCCTGGTACTCATGCATGCGCCAATGCTCAGAGACTGAGAAAGGCCCCAGTTCTGAGCTCTGCAGAAGCAGTTGTTGCTGACGGAAGCAGTTGTTGCTGGTGAGCATGCCCCATGCTCTGGGACCCTCATGATAGCGGTTCCTCCACATACCACTGTCAGCCTCAGAAGAGAGGTTGGATGAATGAGTGAAAATGCCTCACGGAAGGCCCCCAGGGCCCCTTCTCTCACTGTTCTTCTGTCGTCCCCCAGTCTGCACCTGCTCCGATGGCATTCCCATAGCATGCTTTCCAAGAGAGACATAAAAATTCAGGGCCCACCAGGCCCTGGTAGGTCAGCAGGGGATGATGAATCTGTGACCCTCTGACAGAAGTATAATGGCGCGTGTTTGCGGTGACCGCAGAAACGTTTAGCCATTGTGTTGCTTATCAAAACAGTGTGTGTTTTGGAGCTTTTCGCAGCTGATGACTGCCCGGAAAGGAAGAATCAGTTTTCATCAGGATGCTCACCGAGGAGAGCTATAGTCCAGTAGATTGTCCTCCACCTACACACACACACACACACACACACACACACACACACAAGCACACACACTGGTAGCAAAAGAGGACTCAGTTTAACAGATGACCACATCAGTGGTGGCGGGAATAGGGAAAGAATTGGAAGGGAAGGGGAATAGGGGATAGATTTGACCTAAGCACTTTGTACACATGCATGAAATAAACAGCAGAAAACGTTAAAAGTATCTTGAACCTTGCAACAGAAAAAAAGTTTTTAGAAAATAGCTCCCAGTGGAGCTAGCCCCCTTTTCTTCTCCCCTCCCCCCTCCTTCCTCCTCTAAACATATGTTAATTCAGAAAAATACAGTTTCAGGAAAGATTTTCAAAAAACGCTTGTGTTTTATTTCCGCCCTTTAAAGGGTTGCTTTCTGCAGGCAGCAGATAGAACAGTACTGAAACTCGCTTTACCTCTTCCTTTTCATTCATCAGTGTGGTAGATATAGAAGTATTCTTTGAGAGAGAGAGAGAGAGAGAGTCTAACTCTCTAGTAATTGAGTCCTGAGAACTTATCTTTAGTTAGTTACTCATGGAAGTTAAAACTCCCCCAAGCTGGCTACTATTTATAACACCGTTAAATCTCCTTTCTGTTCAGGTGTTGGTGCTGAATCTGTTACAGCGAGAACAAAGTCGTTCTCCCCGCTCTACACCCATCCCCTCTCGTCCCAAACAGGGATTTTTTCCTTTAGGGTGAAGCCCTGTCCTTTTTGCCGAAAGTGGGCTGAGCAAAGGGTGTGACGCAAGAGGGGGCGGTTCAGGTGCTGGGAGGGCGGTGGGGAGGCTCAGCCGCCGCGCACTTTCCCTGCCGCCTGCAGCGGGGCAGCCCTGCGTCCTGCACCCTCAGCACTAGCTCCAGCTTAAGGCGCATCCTCCACCGCTCCCCGGCCTCGCCTGTCTTTCCCAAGCTCTTGATGCTGCCCGGCTGAAGGGAGAAAATGGGCACTGGAGATTTTATCTGCATTTCCATGACTGGAGGGGCGCCCTGGGGGTTCAGGCTGCAGGGAGGCAAGGAACAGAAGCAGCCCTTGCAAGTGGCGAAGGTAGGACCCAGAGACGTGTTCTGAGCTGTTAGACGCTGGGAAAAAGGGGGAGGGACGAGAACAACCTGTTGGTGGTCTTTCTGGTCATTGGCTTGCTTTCTGCGCTGTTGAATTTATCTATTCATTGATGTGGCTTTTTAAAGAGTGTTTTGTGGAGAAATGTACACCGTACGCCATGTAATTAGCTATCAATTTTGTTACACCCATCAGGTGAAGACAGGGGCTGGTTAATTGTCATCTGTCAGCCAGCTTTGATGTGTTCTCTCCTTCACATGGCTTTGCTTGACTCCCACCCGAGGAGAAAGGCCTTCGCTTCCGTGGACAATCACTGGGCTCTAATAAACAGTTGGTAGTGAAATTTGGTGTGTATTAGGCTTAAGAAGGGCAGTTTGGAGCAATAATCGTTAAGATATAAAGAATTGCAATGAGATCTGTTTAAAAGAGTGGCCTTTTAAGGATTTAAAGAAATGCAAAAGCCCAAGTACTATATTCCATTAACTAGACTCATCTGGCTAAGAGCTCCGGATAGACTCATAGATAGTTTATTATTTTTTTAAATTTTATTTTATTAAAATATAATCACATTATTTCTCGCCATTCCCTTTCCTTCTTCCACCTCCTCCCATGCCCCGACCTTTTCTTTTTTAATGGCTGTGTGTGTGTGTGTGTGTGTGTGTGTTTAGGCATAAACATATAAACAGAACCTGCTGAGTCTGTTCAGTGTATTCAGAGATTCTTTACATATGCACCAATTACAGCTAACTTTCTGGTGCACCTAATAGCTACTTAAAATATCTTTGTCGCAGTAGTTCGATTTTTCAGCTTAGCACAATACCCACGATCTAACAGAGAGCTCTAATTTCTGATTGGCATCAGAAATTTTGGATAAGCTAAAATAAAGTTAAAAAAAACCCAAGAAGGTAATATCTTTTAATCGAACGCTAATTCTGAGAGCTTTAGAATCCTATGACCTCTTTGACCGGCTCTGGAGGCGGAAGAGGTTACTTTCTTGTTGTATTTTTATATTTCAAATGAATCTAGACCCATATGGAACACGTGGCTCACTTTAGCCTTCAGAGCTATTCTTTCCCTCTGTCTTTTTACCTTTTACAAATGTTCCCTGTGAAGCTAGAAGTTTCTTTGAAACTTTGTGCTTGCAGGCATCCATCCGAAAATCCTTTCTTCGGTGGTTGAGTTCTGCCACCTAGTGAGAAGTGCGGGGAAACAGCTGTGAGCACGGACCTGGAAGATGAAAGCGGTTTATATCTGGAAAGTTCCTCAGAGGTCCTCCGTTCTTTTGGTTTTTTTGGATAAGCAAAAAAGCCTCCAGAGGCTCCTTTCTGGAAGGGCGGAATGACAAAGGGTTGGATGGCTGCTCCGTGGGGATTCTTCAGGAGTCAGGGACCAGCGGCAGAGGCGGCTATGTGACTGCCGGATTCAGCACATTACACGACTCGGGAGGCTAAGGCAGATTTATTCACCAGCAGTTGGTTGGCTGGCTCCAGCAGCTGAGATTTGGGTTCTAATTGCAGCTCTGACCTAACTTGCAGTTTGGCCTGAGGTCACTGGCCCTGACTCAGTTGCTGTGAAAGGGGAGATGTTGACTGGGTAGGGAAGGAAAGAAATCGAGGAAGAAACTTCGTGAGTTCTAGCTTGCTGAAATATCCACTAATCCTAACAGTGTGTAATTTAGAGTCCCTCACCTGCTAGCCGAACAGAGGTGGCAGACAGCTGGAATTCTGCACAGGCTTTTCCACAGCCAAGCCTGGGAAACACAGGCATGGCGGGTTTCCCCGGAGATGGACTGTGGTAACCCTATGGCTCATTTTCTACCGGTCTCCCAATTGTCAGGCTGTAGGAAAGTCAAGTATACCGGTCCTGCACTCTTCCCTAAAATATCCAGGCGATATGTCGGTGGCTTTTAAAAGAACATTATGAAAGCATCTAGGTGTTCACTTTGATGGACCAGTCTGTCAGAGGCAGATGCAGGTCTGGCAGAGCACAGGGGAGGCACTGAGCTCCCTCCTCATCACTCCCCCACAGCACACTGCATAATTTCCTAGTTTATGTAGAGTTGATTTTCAAATGCTGTTGTGAAAGCTTTGAATGTTTGGCTTCATTTGTGTTCCTGTGGGCGCTCTGCCTCCTCCAGCCTGCCTTTTCCTCATGCGTTAATGAGTTGTAAGAGAAGCTAACCGAGGTGTAAGCTCCAGATAACTGTGGCTATGACTTTCCATGTTTATCATTGTTCTAAATGTATTACATTTGATTTTTAATATTATCATACCTGTTTAACTTTAGAGCTTTTTAAGAGACTACAGCAACTCAGTGAGTGAACCTGCAGTAAAGGTTTTCACTGAACTCAAGACAGTGAATGTCAGTTGCTTGTAGATTCTGTGTGTCTCTGTAAGATGGGGTAAGCTCCAAGCGGGAGGGAGTAAGCAAGGAAGTGGAAAGGCTAAGGAGGAGGATGGCCAGTAAGTTAGACAAAGAATATTCAAGTGAAACACTGGGGAAGGTAGACCTTGGAGTAGTGGTGCAGTCTTCCACATCCCCATGGCGAGTTCTAGTCCAGCCTCTTTCAACAAAATCCATGCAAGTTACTAGTTTTAGAGTTTAAAAACTGTACATGTTTCTAAAAAATAGACAATCTAATTAAAGCAGTGCCCCTTGGCTTATAATAAAATATATGTCTAGATAAAATATATGTCTAGATTTTCTATAACCCTTTGTAGAAATTCTAACAGGCTGAAATAGCATAATAAAATTTAGTTCAGTATTATTGAGATTAGAAATTTAATTGCTTCTTAACCCCCAGGAAATACCTTTCTAGTGACAACTTAGTTGTTTATGAGTTATGCACACACATCTTTTAACATTTTCCTGGTGCACTGCACTGTATACAAACCCAAAATTTTAAAGATTTACGAGAAGATTGTTAGTGAAAGTCTTCATTGACATTCAAGCTCAATGCTATAACATTCCAGTTTTTTTTAAATCAACTGAAAAACTTAAAAGTCCAAGTAACCAGTAATATTCCACATGTCCATAATCTGTAATTAAAAACAGACCTTCCTTACACCCACTGACAGGCTAATCGTTGACAAAGCAGAGCCTTCATTCATCCCAGGAACAAGTTTATCTAGACAGAAAGCCCCATTTTGTGTGTGTGTGTGTGTGTGTGTGTGTGTGTGAGTGTGTGTGTGTGTTTGCACATTTCCTCACAGAAGGGATGTTGATGTTTTCGCTTTATGAACTTCTCTCTTCGTGAACCTATGCCTACATGGCCGTGATGGTTTTTTGGCAAACCACTTAGCGGAAGAGAAATCTTCCTCTAAGGACTTGGAGAGAAAGTTTTGTTACAAACAAATCTTACAATTGAAAAGTAACTCACATTTTGAAAGCAATGAGAAAATAAATGGTCAGACTAAATGTAAGTTAAGGTGACCACCATAAAAGTTTTTTCTTTTTTTTTTAAAAAAAAAAAAGAAAAATTAATCCCATAACCTGTGTCTAGCCCTGAGTTAGTGAGTTTGCCCTGGTATTGATTTTTTTTTAACATTCCAAGGGAATTCAGATATGTGAGCAAAAACACAAGGCCTGCTGAAGAGAGAAGAGGCCAACCATGCCCCCTAAGAGATGACTAGCGCCTGGGATGTTCTGTGGACACATCCCCATTCATTCTTTCTCAGTTTAAGAAGTGGAACAGGGAGGGCTAAGAGCTGTGTGAGGCCTTGGCATTGCAAGCAGGTCATGATTAGCAATAGGGGGTTTCTTTCCCCTTCTGATGTCAAGGTAAGTGGGCTATTGGATCTTGAAGAGGTGTTGGGAAGCCCAGAGGGACCATGCTAAACAGACTGCCTGCAAGGTGGGACAGCTGACATTCCCCCCCCCCCTGCTTGTTTGGTTGGTGGGTGTGGGAGTTGAAAGGGAGTGGCCCCTGTAGGCGCATATATTTGAATGCTTATTCACTAGGTAGTAGAACTGTTAAGAAGCATTAGGAGGTGTGGCCTTGTTGGAGGAAGTGTGTCACTAGGGGTGGGCTTTGAGGTCTCTTCCCCCTCCCCCACTCCTGCCTGTGGACCAGGATGTAAAGCTCTAGCCTACTTCTCCAGCACCAAGCCTTCCTGCCCGCTCTCATGCTCCCCACCATGATGATAATAGGCTAAAACTCTGAAATCCTAAGCCAGCCCCCAATTAAATGCTTCCCTTTCTCATAGTCATTTTGGGCATAGTGTCTCTACACAGCAGTAGGGCACAGTGCAAACTAGAGAAACAGAGCCGGGGACGGAGAGAAGACGAAGGAGGAAGAAAAAGACTGTAGTGATAAAACCCTGCCGCTCATATTACTACAAAAGTCAAGGAAATTTTTTTTATTCAAGCACCTTCATTCATTGGCACTGATTTTTCTTTTAGCTCAGAAAACACTGGAGCATTTCTTTTTGATGTTTCTTCTTTTTCAGTTTTATTTTACTGTATGCACGATATTAGGCTCTTTGCTATTTTTTCCCCAAACTACATTAAATATCTCACACTTCTCTGCTTACATGCATGGACTGTTTTTCCTTTGAAAGTGAAAATAGATTTTCTTTCATGTAATATATTCTGATTATGGTTCCCCTCTCTCAGCTCCTCCCAGGTCCCCCCTGCTTCCCCATCCATCTGAATTCATACTCTTTTTTTCTCTCTCTCATTAGAAAACAAACTAGCATCAATTAAAAATAATAATAAGATAAAATAAAAACAAAAAACCTGAATAGGGCAAAATAAACAGATAAACATGCAAACAAAAAGAGCCACAGGAAAAAACCCACAAGAAACACAGGCAGACACTGAGACACACACATTCACACATGCAGAAAACACATAAAAAGCAAAATTGGAAACCGTAGCATATAAGGAAAAGATTTGTAAAGAAAAAGAAATCCCTGACAAAACTTTGCAAAACAAAAAAAACTCTTCAAAAATACTACTGAGGTCCTTCTGTTTGGGCCATTTAC